AAAATCAACACCTTAAATATTTACAAGGATTATGTCGCTATGTATTTATACCCAAAAGCATTAGTAGAGCTAAATATAAAAGCTAAATATAAACAAATCAAAATGTATAGGGTACATTGCTTTGTATTGGGAGTTGTCCACCCAAACCCTTTTATGTTTTTTTAAAGATCTTTTTGATTTGTGAGGTTGAAATATTTAGATTTATAATAATTTGAATTTTTAAATTAATAAAACCCCTTTTCATTAAACTGCATTTTAGAGCAGGAAGTGAGGCTGCATCCCTGTCCCTCATGGCCACATAGTGAGCAGTTAGAGTCTGAAAATCAGTGTGTTACATTAAGAAATGCCACTACTGAAACACATATTTTCTACAATTAAGTGAACTTCTTTGTGTTTTAATTAAAATATTAGGTTTTTACTTGCTGTGTTTTCTAGTCATGTACTGGCTGGCAGTTTTGTGTTATGTTCCAAACTACCAAAACAGTCACAATGACATGAATGTATTGTGACAAAATGCAATGTTTGATCATTTATCTTAATAAAGTAAGCATAATTAAAGTATAGGGACACTCCAAGCAAAAAGAACTTTAGTCTAAAGTCCAAGTTAGTTAAAAGTCTGAAATATGTTTTTAACTCTGGCTTTGAACCAGTTCAGTAATGATCCAAATAAGTGTAGATTAAATGTCATAAACTAGAACACTCAAAATGAAATATTCGCAATTTCAAGTAATTTGGGAAGAACAAATAGTAGGTATTGTTATATTATAAACTGTAGATATCCATTTGTAGCAATTTTTTGACATAAAATAATTATAGATCTCATCAGCAAAGTCTATTAATCGCTGCTCAAATATATGGCATTCTGAATATGACTTGTTGTTGAAGTTCACTGGGGCTGAAAAGTCCATTAGGGCTGAAAGATGAATCGTCTTTACTTCCAATAGCAATTTGTAAGAGTGCAATGTTCAGATCGCAAGAGCTGCAACGTTTAGTATGGCTTAAAGTGAATATTCAGGGCAAACAAACAGGCCTGACCCATAATTTATAGAAACATATTCACAATATTGGTCAGAAAAATTGCTATTTGATATTTTCACCATATATTACCCATTTTAACCTCTCTCTATCCCTTAAAACCAGGCTCTTTTTGTGACTGTGCCTTTCAGAAATCATATATGTAAACAAGCCCTATGTTTACATATTACATCAAACTGCAGTTAGATATTTTTTCATTAAATCATTTACCCTTATTCTCGATGCTGTGTAGCTTTCTCAGTAATTATTATATTATACAGCTCCAAAACTCATCACAATTTTCTTGATTTTTGCAATTTTTTCAAAAATTGTTTGAAACCTATAGAAATATGTATTATATTGAAATCATTTGTATATGTATCTGCAACAATATTGGTGTTATATTATTCAAAGCAGTGATGCTAAACTTTTGAACAGTAGTGTCCTTAGAGTCGTGTGCAAAAGTTTGGGCGCACTTGTTAGATTCCATGTTTTGTTGAGTTTCTAAGAGAAAATAAGTGAACACGTCCTCTACAGAGAACACACTCTGCACATTTTAATGCACAATTTATTTGATGAATTTAATATATTGGAAAAAATAGTAAACAAAATGTGACCTGTGCAAAAGCATATTTTATATTTTATGCTTTTTTCCCAATATGTCAAACTCTGCAAATAAATTGAAATTGAGCACTAAAATGTGAAGAAAAATACCATTTATAAGTTGGTTCCCTGTAAAGGATGTGTATCCAATTTATTCAGTTATTTGCATATGACTATAGATATGTATCACTGCTACTTCTGCTACTGCGACACTGCTATTACTACATGTAATATTGGACCACTTCCATTGCTCCTTTCATCCTAAAAAAAGGAGACTGAGATGGAGGCAGCGTTTTGTTATAACAGCGATGATGTCTATAGTTTTAAACTATTTACTAACACTAGCTGCTTTTTGTATTGTGTATGTAATGAATTGACTCTTAGAAATGGTCCAAAATGACCATAATAAAATCTGTTGCTGTTGGCTTTCTGCAGACATCTTTCAGACATAAGTCACCAGAATGCGATGATCAAAGTCCCTTGATTTTTGTCGGTGGTGGACCCTCATGCCCCATGCTTGAGTTTGGGAAGACGTCCTTGTTTCTGACGCCTCAAGGTCGAACATGCTCTGCTTCTCCTTTTCAGCATCGCTATGATGTAAACACCCTCAGGTTATTGATGGTTGCAGCATTTGTTTGCTCAGCTCTGCTGGAGAAAAATATGGCTTTAGGTCCTGTTTTCTTCTAGCACTCGAATGAAGAGCCCATGTCACCAAAGACATGCATGAGTACCCTCCTGGGCTCAACAACCCCCTGTCTCCACACCCCCCGTCCCGCTGCACCTGGTTAGCGCGATCCATCGTCCTTGAGGACGCACGTGTTTTTAAGTGACTTTTCCCCCATTTCACCCCTTCGCTTCTCATCTGGTGTTGACAAATCCCCTGCTGCCGCTTCATTTATCCAGCTGATGGGCTCTTATAGCATACAGCTGATAGTCTGCGAGCTGTTTTATTGTCTTTTGCACCAGTTCTATCAGGATGACAAATAACACTTGATATCTTAGCGGAACATTTACACTTCTTTCACCTCCCCCCCCAACAAAGCCCAGTTTGGTAAATGCACATACGGGCCTAGCGTCGCAACGTGACATCAGTTATGCACTTTTAGGAACCAATTAATAGAGTAATTCCACGGCGAATGCCTTTCATTAGCTATGTGTCTGGTGTTACCGATGCTTTTCACAGATGGTGAGCAGAAAAAAAGGCAGAAATTACCATAACGGGTAACTGCTCCAAAGAGTTTCAGTAGCAGGCCACTGTCGAGTCCAGGGTGAAGAAAGACAGCAGGCTTTTGTGCTGAAAGCTGCCTTACTCAGCATAAAATGAGAGATTGATGTGGCTAGAAAAGTGAGACCTCCAAGGGCATTTTATCAAGGTTAGCCCTTGTCAAAGATTTAGAATGATTTAGTAAGTTTACCCACAGGACTCTTTGACAGACCATGGTAGACACCCACCCCCCTCTCTTTGGGTACAGTATCAAAGGGACAGATTGTAATGTGATCGGAATATAAGGGGTCCATATATCTTAATAAACATGCTCTGCGAGTCCTGATACTTTATCTGGTTTGACTAGATGAGGCTTGTAAATCATCGGAATAACTGATTTAAATGAAATCAAGTATCCATGTTGGAGAAATATACTTGTTTTCGCTACACCTTGCTAGCTTTCTATGTGAGCGACACGCTTGCTCTGTTGCCTTTTGGCTGAAAAACTCAATGAAAAGTGCTTTCTTTGCGCTAGACGCTCTGCGTCGAATAACCAGCAGACCCTCGGGGGAGTTTGTCCATTCATGAGACAATCGCAGGTTTAATTACATTATTAATTACTTTTCTCTCAGGGGATGGGAGCAGAATAATTCTTGATGAAGGGCCACTCCCTCGGTTCGATTCCCCAAGAGCAGAACGCAATTTATGGACTGTTATTGGAGCAACAGCTCTTTCAACTCCTTTTTTCTCATTATATTATGTCATGGCTACTTGAGCATGTTATTACATTGCATTGACTGTACATTGCATTCATGCCACACCACTCGAAAATGAAGTGCAATAATGTGATGATGGAGACGTGTCTTCTTCACCTAATTTACGACATAAGCATGTGTCGTAATCATATCAACATGAACATTGTGGACTCCCTGATTGGCAATTGTGTCACCGGCAGACTTCATTTGCATGAATAATTGTCACATCTTGACATGCATTAAGCTAAGCAATTAACATACATAATAGCTGTGCGGTACCTCAAGGCATTGTATGACCTTAAATCAAATTTACATGGTGCTAGGAAATTGCTCTAACCATGTTTCAAGTACACTAAAGGGATTGTGGTCCACAGTGGAGATATGCACGCTGTCTCTCTGGGCAACTTCTTGCATACATTCATAAAATATTTTGTTTATTCATGTGTTATAGATTATTAACAGGAGCAGTCTGTTCCAGAATAGTAGCCATTAAGAGAACATGTGCTAAGTATGCTGGTGCTAGCAAAACTTTGGACTGTAGATGTGGGAGATTTCAATTGATTCCCAAAAAACATTATGTTGGTTTGAGCTATAGATAATTTCTTGTAATCATCAGTCCAAATTAAAGCTAATTAAAGCTAATTAAAGCAAATTAAAGCTAGTGAGATCTGGATAACAATCAGCCATAAGTCATTGTCCATTTTCTCAGCTACACTTAACATTTAGCTTTGTAGTGCTACTGTAGTCCATCTGATTCTCTAAATACTTTGTTAGCTACCCTGTTCAATGGTCAGGACCTTCACAGGACCACCGCAAAGCAGGTATTATGTGGGTGGTGGATCATTCTCAGCACTGTAGTGATACTGACATGGTGGTGGTGTGTTAGTGTGTGTTGTGCTGGTACGAGTGGGTCAGACACAGCAGTGCTGCTGGAGTTTTAAACACTGTGTCCACTCACTGTCCACTCTATTAGACACTCCTACCTTGTTGGTCCACCTTGTAGATGTAAAGTCAGAGACGATACCTCATCTGTTGCTGCACTGCTTGTGTTGGCCATCATCTAGTCCCTCATTAGTGGTCACAGGACGCTGTTGGCTGGATATTTTTGGTTGGTGGACTATTCTCAGTCCAGCAGTGTCACTGCAGTGCTGAGAATGACCCACCACCTAAATAATACCTGCTCTGTGGTGGTCCTGTTGGGGTCCTGACCTTTAAAGAACAGGGTGAAAGGGGGTTAACAAAGTGCAGAGAAACAGATGGACTACAGTCTGTAACTGTAGAACTACAAAGGGCACCTATATAGTAAGTGGAGCTGATAAAATGGACAATGAGTGTAGAAATAAGTTTTAATATTATGGCTCATTGGTGTAAAAGATAAAATGTTGAGGTGCAGCAGTTACTGATTCTGCTCATGTCTTTTTCAGAATACTTATGGAATCTCTTCCAGCTCTCCACTAAGACTCTGGCTTTACTGGAAGCTAACGTCCTGATCAGCTGTGGCTCGACTCATTGGTACGAATAATTTTGACACTGTTCTGCACTACCTTGCGTGTCCAATCACCGGTCTCTTTGAGCACTGGTGTCTTTTGAGCCCTAGGCTATGTAGCTGGCCAGGGCATTCCAAAATGTAGAAGTTAGTATGCCACACAGCTCTCTTGTAACGTGCTATCATATAATTACAAATTTTCTGACCACCAAAAAAGATGGCCACAACACCAAACATTTGTGCCCAGGGGTCTAAAAACCTAATCCAGACATGTACATGGACTGTTCTACTGAAATAGTGCTAGTGACTGTTTTGTTATTCACAATTTTAGATAACTTTAAACATAATTCCACTAGAATTATGACTAGAAAAACAGAGCTTTGAACAGCTGTACACACGTAAAATTGCAATAGTTCACATTAAAACACAAAAAGTTTACTTAATTTCAGAAATTATGTGTTTTGGTAATGACAATTCTTACACACTGATCTCTTAGTATTTAAAACTCTTAGTGTTTCAGTAGTGACATAAAAATGTAGGACAGCATTTTCTGAAAAACATAAAAAAATAAAAATTAACCTCAAAAGAAGCCTAAATCTTTTAACTTCACTTTAAATGCAGTCAAAAACATCTAAAAAAAAACATATTAAAAAGAAAATGACTTATTTTCACAAGTGGGAATTTAGGGGTTAGGGCTTGGGGCAGACACCTCTCAGTAGAAAATACCCTGTTATGATTTTGTATTACTATCTCATTAATGCCTTGGGTTTACATAGATCATAACTTAATCCTTATAAATATCTAAGGTCTAAATACATGTTCTTTGTTTTTTTTTCCACTGAGAGACTGCGGTTTGAACTAATTCAGTAGAATTATCCCTATAAGTCTTTAACTATACATCCGCAAAGGTACAAGGCAGAGGTTTCTAATAAAATAAGTATGATAATAACTGTCTGATATTATGCCATACTAAGTGGCGTTAACATGATATTTTCAGACAGGTGGCTGAGTCTGACATTTTTTGTTCAATTTTGTTGGAATCTGAATGGTTGTCACTTCTCAACGGATTTTCTCATCCCTTATTTAGAGTTGACACATTCTGACAAACGGTCTCATGTTGACATCTAAGCCTGTAAATATGACCAGATGAAAGGGACTTTTTATTTTGAGCATTTCACCCTGCTGTCTTCAATGTCACCTAAGAGTGCCAGCTGCACTGATGCCTCCCTCAGTAGTCCTTTTTTTCACAGTAACCATAAAGTGCAGTTTTCCATCTGCTTCGAAGGTCCCTCAGTCAAATTATGCATTTTTTCTTCAGTAACATTGATAGAATGTATGTGTATGTGGGCAACGTGTATGATGTACATTGTTATTGGTGAGTAAGCAAGCCAGCATTTATAAAAATAGTTTTTAAATTGTTTTTATATGCAGTATTTTATTGTGGTAGTTGTGCTTGTACACGACTTTTATAACATATTTATCAAGAAATGCGTCTGTTTTATCTCGTCATGGCCATTTTTGTGGAGAAGTGTGAGTTGCACAGCAGGGGGTTCTTACACTTCCCTGTTCACCCTCATTGCTAGTTAGCAGCTCAACATAGAATCTCATTTCACATACAGAGAACTAATGGTGTCCCATTTATCTAATAGCAAAGTTAAGGAGAAAAATAATGTATTTGATTAGATTACTTAAAAAATATACAAGTTGATTTCCCTTCCTATGGTGGAACGGCCACTAGGGGGCCTGCAGAAAGAGGCTCATGAATCACAGCGTCATGGCCTGAAAGGTGGCTCTTCCACTGATAAAGTTTAGTTTTCCAATTATCCCAAATGTAGCTAACCAGCCAAGACATGTTTGGTGTCTTATGGAAACTAATGTTAGCTTGTGATAACTAAACAGCTTAATGCAGATGACTCCTACTACTGTTTTTAGCTATATAGATAGTGCAACACACTTCTGTCAGTTTTTATAGGCACGAGTTTGCCATAAAGCACCAAACCACATAAGCAAGTCTATTTGAGTGGCATTGCTTTTAGGCAGGTAAGTCAGCCTCATACCTCCGGTGTAAAACTAAAAAAGCAAATCTCAGACACCAAACATCTTGGAGTCAGAGGACACTTGTGTAATTTGATTATTTGTCAAACTCTTTCAACACAGTTCTTGGCTCCTCTTGGTTGCTGTCTTGGGCTCCGCTGGCTGCTGCACTGCTTTTTAAGCTGGAGATGACATGACATGCAGCTTTAATCCCTGCTGATTTGTTTACCCGTCCCAAACTTGAGCGCGTGACGAGAGGCAGACAGCGTCCACACCGAGCTTTCTGTTACAGCACGATAAAAGCCCCCCTCTGCCTCCACATGCACGGCTATGTGAGATTTAGATTGGATTAAACAATGACAGTCTGTTTAGATGCTAACCTCCTTGTGCTTCATTCCACAGATCCAGCCAGATATGGATTAAAACTCTGACAAGCTAGCAGAGGACCCAGCAGAGGGAGAGAGGAAAAGAACGCACTGACCACCATCGACAGACCAGCCTATGTGTTTTCATGCTCCTAACATAAGAACACACTGGAGATTCCACCATAATGTGAAGGAGAGACTTTGAATTTCAGCACCATTTCGGAAACGGATTCACAAGTTTAAAAAGAAAGGAAAGAAAAGCAAAAACAGTCAATCAACAATCCACGTTTGTATCTTTCATCACTGCCATTGACAGAGACAAAACTTGCATAAATAGCCTTTTTGTTTCTCAAAACCAGATTATATTTTAAGTACATCGACAGAAAAATAATTCAACCGTTGATGCATGATTCCACTAAGGCTTGGAACAGTTTCAAATTTGAGAGATTTCCAATGTGTTTGCTTTGCTTGTTCTATTGAAAAGTACCTGCACACCAATGATATGATTACCGTCTGATTTCGGCAGTTACCTCATTATTACTTAATAAGCTCTAATGTAAACATTATACTACAATAACTTAAATCAGATTAAAGCTTTTTTCTGATTGTCAAAAATGCACACACTCGGAATTGAATCCAGTAATAAGCTTATTCTGCAGATACATTTCTACATCTATGCAAACGTAAGTGGATAGAAATAAGATTGTTCAGAAGCAGTAAACACCATAGAAATAGATTCATTTCAAACTACGTCCCCAAATGACAACTGGCGTTTACACACTTTGTACCATAAAAACTCTCTAGGAAATTGTAGCCAGTAAAATGACTCCATGTTAAAAAACCTGGAATAATGCGTCAGCTTCAGCTTCATATTGGAGACACTGGCGAGGCCTAAATTGGTGCTTCTGTAAAAAAGGTTGATGATAGAATAAGAAAGCTGAAAAGAAAGGGAGAGATAGACATAGTAATTATAATATCAGGAATATCAGTGAATCTAAATAAAAGTAATAATTAGTAATAGAAAAAATAGTAGATGCAGGTTCGAGTTTTCTGAGAAGCAGCTTCAGCTTTCATAATGGAGATGCTGGTCAAGCTTGGTAGATAATAGAAGAAGGAAGTTGAGCGAGACTTAGAGACTATCAGGAAGATCAGTGAATCCTAGGGTTGTTACGATGCATATCTTTCGAGGTTTAATGTGATTCTCAATTCTGAGGTCAAGATTTGATTCGATTTTCAATAAAAATGTTTTGGTTTTACAGATACTACACAGACTGGTTTGGCTCCAGTGAGTAACAGTTTTCTGGTAGAACTTTTCAATGCCTGCTACGCCAACCCTTTAACAAAATAAACCCCAAAAATCCCAACCCCTAGAATTCATAATTTTACATTTTGATACATTTTTAAATGAAATCATTGGAACCCAAATAAAAGTAGACAATAATAAAAAAATCGATACGTGCAGAATCTGTAACTTGGCTTTCCTTGAAGAAGCACGTTCAGTAGACCATGATGGAGACGCTGTCCCAGAGCTCCAGGCTGGAGTGCCAGATCTGCTTTAACCCTTTCAGCCCGCAGCGGCGGCGCCCCAAAATGCTCCAATGCCGGCACACGTGCTGCTCCGCGTGCCTGAGCCAGATGAGGCTGAATCACAGAGAGATCCGCTGCCCATGGTGCCGGAGCGTCACTCCCCTGCCCAGCAGCCTGTCTGTCTCCCAGCTACCCGACGACCTGGAAGCGCTGTCCGTCATCTCCGTAATGCAGTCCTCTGAGCATGTGCCTGTTTATATCCGGTTGCCTGGTAACGGCTGCTACCTGCTGCCTCTACCGGGAGATGTGGAGCAGGCCCTGTTGCCCGAGGAACCTACCTACCGCTTTGACTTCAAAGGCGGCAGTGAGACGGGTCTGCCGGCAGAGAGCCTGGAAGTGGAGGTGGTGGAGGAGGAGGAAGTGGGGGTGCTAAAGAGTTCGGCATGGACTGGTTTCTGCACCGTTCTTCTCGTGGCGGTCATCCTTATTTTCCTGCTGGGCATCGTCCTGCACAACATGTCCTGCGTCTCCAAACGGTTCAGCATCATTTCTTGCGGATGAAAGACCTACTTTGCGTCTGAAACTCATTCACTATTCACGTTTGCCATGTAGTAAACTGACTGGGGAAATGACTGTGGGCCATGGAAAAGGGAGACAGACATAGACTATACATCCAAAAGTATTCAGACACCCTTTCTAATTAATGACTTAATTTGCTTCAAGGTGGATTGATGATACAAGCATTCAGTTGCACACTCACAGCTTGTGTATTCTCCATGGAAAGGCATTTCCAGTATAATGGGACACTCTGAGCAGCTGCACACGAGCTCACCATGCCCAAAGACAAGTGTCGGCTTGAGGTGTATAAAGTCCCCCTGCATTGGGCTGTGGAGCAGTGGAACTGTGTCCTCTGGAATGATGGAGCTCCAGCCACTAACTTTGGAATGTGTTCCAGAACTAATCAGCAGCTGACTTGACTAATGTTGTTTTGGCTAAATGCAATCAATTCCTCACAGCAATGTTCCAACATCTAGGGTAAAGCCTTATCAGAACAGTAGAGGCTGTCACTGCAGCAAAGAGGGGACAAACTGCTTATTATTACCCTTGATTTCAGAAGCAGTGTTGGATGAGCAGGTGTCTACAGACTTTTGGACATTGTGTCCATGTGTTCAGTGCTGGAGTTGACAGGAAGCAAAACAGAGAGACATGAACTTCATTTCTGACAAACAGTTTATTTATGATTTTCTACTACCATTCAGTATGAATGCAAAGCTGGACTGGATGTATGTTTAGCCATTACGGGAGTCAAAATGCAGTGAGGTGGACAGATGTGAATATTTGACTGTTTATTTATGTTTTTCTTTATGATTCAGCATCTTTTCTTGCAAATGATTGACTAGACTGGGCTTTGTACATTTTACCATTTGATCAGCACTGAGGCTGACAGGAAACACAGTGGACAGACATGGACAAATAGGAAGATGAAACAAAAATGGATTTCAAATTGACTTTATATATGATTTCTACATTCTGAATGTATGAAGTCACTTGAATTTCTAAAGGATAGTTTATTTATGGGGATGAAATGTTAGGCCAGGTTGGTACAGCAGACCAGTCTTGACATTGTCCGCAAGTGAAGCAGAAACATGGCCACATATGAATTTTTGATAGACTGTTTATTTCTGATTTGCCAGGTTTGTTTACAGATGGGAATCGAAAGAGAGAAATGTGGTCATATATGGAATCTCTGATTTCTTTTACTCATTTTTTATGATAATAGAATTCAAAGGCTAGACTCAGTGTGCACATTGAACCAGTGGTGAGGCTAACAAGAAATAAAAATAAAATAAAACAGAGAGACATGGAAATATATGATTTTTTAATATGTTGGACTGTTTATTTAATGAATCTAGAAATCATGCCTTATTTATAAACATTTTAAATTAAATATAATCTCATGAGATAAATTGATTTATACATTTAACCAGTTCTGAAGTTGACAGGATGCGTACATGAACTTCTGATTTGATAGACTGTTTATTTATGATGTCTACATAACTTCACATCATTTCTTGCTTGATGTCCCATTAAGTGATTCCCAAGCATATATACATTTCTGATATGTTATACTGTTTGTGGGGGTGGGGGGTGGCATGGTCCAGTCTTCTAGCTCCAAGCAGAGGCCAGCTAGATCTCCAGCCTAAATTCTTAGATTTTGCTCCCCTCACTCCGTCATTCTCCCCTCATACTACCACCATATGTTGAAGGCATAGGCTGAATTATACAAAGTGTAATTTCATATAAAGAGATTTTTAATTTTTTTCTTCTTCTTATTTTTTTTTTTTTAGTCCAAGTGGAGTGTTTCTCTTGATCTGTTCATTGTGAAAATCGTGAAAGCTGTCATGTTGAAATCATGTAGAAAAATAAAATCTGACAAAAATTGACTTTTTTTTGGACAACAATAATATATTCAAAAAAGTGACCTGAAAAGGACCAAACAGGGGATTCTGTTTTGTCAGAAACTGTGCCCTGATTGGTCTAAGAGCTGTTTACCACTGGTATTCCCAAACTTAAACTGTCCTCCCTGGAGCAGGCAAGTTGTGCAGCATGAGTTGCCATGGTCATGTCCCCCAATAAAAAGTGATCTACTGTCATAAAACAAAAAAAAAATCCAGGGTTTGCTTGAACTATGCTTGAAGACAGGCCCGCAGTTTACACGACCTCTTTTATTGGCATATAAAGCCCTACATGGGCTCGCTCCTGAATACCTGCAAGACCTTATTTCCCATTATGAGCCACCATGATTACTCAGATCACAGAGTACTGGCTTTTTAATACTTCTCAGAATTCAGAAGGTTTGAGCTGGGAGAAGAGCCATTTCTTATAAAGCCCTCAGAAAATGTTTGGGACTCAGACTCAGTCGCAATCTTCAAATCTAGGCTGAAAACTAGTTTACTTTTGGTAGTTAATGTTCCCCCTTAGATAAAGGCAGCAGATCCAGGGGTCCATGGACGCAGGGAATTATAGTAAACAGAGACGCTGGTGCTGTTGTCCCGCCGCTCGCACGTGATCACTCAGGTGATGGTTTGTGGACGGTGGAGCGGAGGAATGCCAGATTGTTTCAGGGTGCTCCTGTGTCTGTGTGTCCTTGGTTCTCTCCTTTTAGTTAAGCTGTTATAGTCAGATCTGCCGGAGTCGTTAGCCGCACTCTGGAAATGTTCACATTCTGTTTTACATACACCCAAACAGAACAAAACTAATTCCATCTCCCTACCTTTTTCCGAGTAAATGACTGCTCACCTGTCCAGCCGGACACTGATGGATGATTGTCTGTGGAGCTCTCCTGCTACCCGTTTCAGACCAGTTGCCCACGCCCCAGTCACCGCCACTTGCCCAGCTACCGCCACTTGCCTTGGATTAGCTGCCCACCCTACACTGAAGATTTCATGGACTCCTAACTATTACTACTACTACTATTAATATTAGTAGTATAATAATTTTGTAGGTAGTTTGACCAGAGGAGGATGGGTCCCCCCTTGTGAGCCTTGGTTCCTCCCAAGGCTCCTCGCCCCTGGCTTGCTCACCTGGAGGATTTACATTTCATGTTAAAACTTTGTCTTTAATGGATTTCTGTGAAGCTGCTTTGTGACATCAGTTGGAAAAAGCGCAAAACAAATAAATTTGACTTGACTTGACGACCTCCAAAAACCGCATCCCCCAACAGCTAAACTTTCTATCATAGTTACAGAATTAGCATAACAATAAACACAGTTTATCTCTTTAAATTACATCGGTGTGAACATGTGAACAAGACTGTATCTTGGCTGAGAAGTATAGTGACTGTGAGCTAGTTAGTTAGGTAGTTAATTAGCCAGAGTGTGATTGTACATTAACATTGAGCTAACCATCTGTAGGCCTTAGTATACAAGTAGACTGAATGAACTGGCCATCTCACCCCTTCTGCACTTCGGCCCTGTGGTTCCTTGCTCTGATATACAAACAAATCATGCTCTTTCACTTTATCATTTGTTTGCATCTTTTATCATGCAGCAGTTTGTCTCTATAACCATTAGGGGTGGGAATCTCTAGGCATTACGATTCAGAGGGCTGCGATGCGATTATAAAACGATTATCGATGCATCTTTTTTTTCTATACAGCATTTCTATTTACTCACTGTGTGAGCACAAGTTTCAAGTTTCAAGTTTATTTGTCATTTGCAGAACATGTCAGGACATTTATGCATTGAAATGCTTGTGGTGAGGCTCAGCTAATCACTCTACAGAAAGTAAATAAGTAAAAATAAAAATACAAGAAAAACCAACTGAAATATATTAAATATACACAAAATATACACAGAACATAGAGACAATATACATTTTAAAGTGACTAAGTGACTCAGTGTTATTGTTATTTAAAGTGACTTGGTAGTTTTAAAGCAAAGTATTTGTAATGATCCATAATGAATTTACTTCCAATATCTCTTATTAATATCTCTTATTAATCAAATGGAAGTGATGTGGTAAGTGATCTAGAAGGCTCTCATTCACTGCTCTTGTTTGGAGCATGAGAAGCTGCTGCTACTCATCTGCAATAAAATGCGCAGGTACGGTGAAATAAGCTATTCTCGTTTTCTTTAGTGATTTTATAACTTTGGTTTTGATCTCGTTGTAGAAACGGGGTGGCGGTGGGGTGGATCGCTGTGTCAGTAAAGTATCTTCGAGACATAGCCCTGTTTCGCAACGACTGAGAATTGGCGTGAAGACTGCAGGTCACCTAGCAGTGATGCGTTATTCACATTTATAAGCAGCGCAGTTGGTTTCCTGGTACGTTAAATCTGCAACGAGAGACTGTCACACAGTAAAAAGTGCTGAAGATGAAGTCGCTTCTCTTTCGAATTCTCCCGTTCCACCTTAAATGGTGTCGCAGTTACATTCGGTGCCTCAGTCAGAATTTAAGGTGGAACGGGAAAATTCGAACAAGAAGCTGGAGAATAAGAAGTGACTTCAGCCTCGTAAAACAGTCGAACGTTGAGAGACATTTTACAATAAGCTGCTCTAGTTTTGAATAAAAGTTTCCTGTCCGAAAGGGGAGGAAAGCGGTTGTAGGCGAAGCTTAAAGCAGAGCGAAGTAAATCTGCGCTCTCGTTTATAATTTTTAGCCTATACTAGGACATCAACACACACTGAGACATACTGGACATAAAATGTTGTGGCTCCCAAGACGGTTTGATTTTTGTTGAAAGGGCAAAATGGCTCTTCTTATCATTTGTGTTGTGACTCCTGATCTAACCTGGCTTTAATGCAGAGGGAGCCGGTCGGATTTCTCACTCATCCAGTTGTGGTTTTGTTATGTGCCGCCACAGACTGTCCGGGCGCTGCACTTCCCCACTTCCAAGCTCCGCCTTTTGCGTTCCATGAACATTACGTTGTAAATTGAATATTTAGAAAATCGTTTTCTGACATTTGTTAATCGATTCAGAATCGTTCACGTCCGCATCGCGATGCATCTAAGAATTGATTTTTTCCCGCACCCCTAATATATATATATATATATATATATATATATATATATATATATATATATATATGTATAGTCACTTATATGTACACTCACTAAAATCTACAATTATTGTCCATTTTATCAGCTCCACTGACCATATAAAAAGTTTTAAAAGTAGTGAACATAGTGAAAATGCTTGTAAGCAGTTATAACTGTAAAGAATGCTTAAACAAGCATTGGTGCCGACTGCAATCAGACATGTGCACATCAATTATATATATATATATATATATACCGATCAGGCATAATATTATTAGCCCCCTTTTACCCTGTTCTTCAGTGGTCAGGACCGCCATGGACCCTCAGAGAGCAGGTACTATTTGGGTGGTGGATCATTCTCAGCACTGTAGTAACATTGACGTTGTGGTGGTGTGTTAGTGTGTGTTGCGCTGGTCTGAGTGGATCAGACACAGCAGTGCTGCTGGAGTTTTTAAACACCTCAGTGTCACTGTTGGACTGGGAATAGTCCACCAACCAAAAATATCCAGCCAACAGCGTCCTGTGGGCAGCGTCCTGTGACCACTGATGAAGGACTAGAGGATGACCAACACAAACTGTGCAGCAGCAGTGAGTGGACACAGTGGACACAGACAAACAGACAATAAAATGGAATGACATTGGGTTATGAAATGTTATAATGTAACATTGCATTTTTAAGAATTAGGACCGTAGAGTATTACAATAACAATACTTTACTGACAGTTAAAAAGATGAAAACTTTGCCTTTTATCAGTTTTACTGTCATCAATGACTAAATGTCATTTACTGGACCTACTCGACAAACATCATGTTTTTAAAAAGGCTTTATTCTAATGTGAGTAAACTCCAGCCTTACACCACATTGAGTGTCATTCCTGTAACTGCTGTGCTGTTGCTGCACTGATATGATCATGCAGGCACTCTCAGTATTAATAGTCTCCCCTCTGACCTTGGTGTGGTGGTCTTCGAGTCATGCCTCTGGGCTAAAAGGTTAGGTGTAACATGATCCTCATAATGCAATGAGCAATCAGTATTGGTGCATAACCTTATAAGTGTATTATGTCCAGAGTGCAATTTGTTAACAGTTATTTTCTGATTTTTTTTTCCCTTCTCACCAATTTAGTCTTGGTCAGTTCCCACCCACTAGCAGGGTCTCCCCTTATCACACAAGGCTAGGCTGGCACCTGCTTTCTCCACTCACAAAGTGAGCGTCCACATCATTTCAAACTACTCCTAACACAACTTCATTGAACAGCTCAACATGCTTGGAGAACATGCTGACAATTCAGTTGTGTCTGTTGTTTGTGTGGAACTGTG